TCGATGAGATTGATCACTACAATGCTTAGATTGATACTACAATGATATAAGTTAAATTGATATGATCTAATAATACAATTGTATCAAATATATTATACTCCCTCCGTCCCAATACAATAGTCTTGTTTATTATTTTTTTTCGTCCCAAAACAATAGTCTCATTTCCATAAATACTCATATCACTATAAAATTATCCCTATTTTTTCATTATTATTACACAAATGTCTCTACTTTTTACACTAATGCACTTACAAGGGCAATAAAGTCTTTTACTCATACTTTTTACCGATTATCAATATAATATCAATATTTCTTAAATCTCACGCCCAATCCAAATAAGACTATAATTTTGGGACACAGAGAGTATATAATATAGTAATATAAAATTTATATAGTGTAATATTTTCCCTATAAATAGTGTTGCAACAATCAATCATTCAAAACATTATTTACTTTTCTAAGTTTTTTTTTTTCTCCTTCTATGTTTTATCCTTAAGTTTCAACAATAGAGCCAAATTATCCAAAATCTTCAAATTTACAAGAATCTTTTTGGTTTTAAAGTTTTACGAATATATTTGAAAATTAAAAATGTTCACAAAACTCTTTCAACCCTAATATTTATAAGAAAATTTCAAACTCTGTGTCGGGTATTAATTACCATATATTAATATCTTAAATCATTAACTGATTATTTGTTTATGGCTCAATTTGTTGATTGTTATTTTGACGAGACGTATTTTCGAATATTAGGGGAAAAAACTGATCAATTGAAAAAAAAATTACATGAAAAATACATTTCAATTTTCTTGATCCTCGTAATAGCCAAAGTGAATTAAAAATGTAAGGAATTGTACATTTTTAGCGAATAGCAAAATCAATTATCTAATTTTTTGTGACGTCAGTAGGGTCACCAGATCATATATAACTGAAAAAAATGCACCGGCTAAAATTATTGTCCCCAAAAGACAAATGTAAAGTGCTAATGAATCGAATGAACGTCTGAAATGTGGAAGACCTTTAGGTTCCAAAAATAAAAATAATCGAAAGAAAATAGGAAAAAATGAAAGGATTGAGGAATTGAATATTAATCAAAATCTTCGTAAAACAAATGGTAACATGGATCAAATTTCTGAAGAAGTTGATCCAAATATAATTTCTCCTGAAGAGGATGATGTTATTGAAATCAATAAATTATGTTACTATGGAAAGCATTGGAACTCAAATGACATAATTATATAATGCTTTTACATATAATGTAACACTTGATTTAATGAAAAATGACGAGAATCTTGAACCAAGATCATTTTTTTGAAAAAAATGACCAAAATAAAAAGATGTGATCCAGTCTGAATTGAATTTACTAGCAAACCAAAAAGTTTTCGGGTCTATTGTACAAATATTAGAAGGTGTTAAGTCTATTGGCTATAAATGAATATTTATTTAAAAACAAAATGAGAACAATGAAATTTTCAAATATAAAGTAAGGCTTGCTGCCCAAGATTTTTCAAAACTACCCGAAATTAATTTTGATGAAACTTATTCTCTAGTAACGGATGAAATGACATTTGATATCTTGTTAGTTTGACAGTTCATGAAGATTTGGATATGCGCCTGATGGATGTCGTAACTGTTTACTGAGATCTACATGAAAATTCCTAAAAGATTCAATATGTCTGGAGCATACAAATCAAAGCATGATGTTATTATATTAAATTACAAAAATTTTTATATGGCTCAAGCAATATGGTTGCATGTATTATAATTGTCTCAATGAATCATTAATGAAAATGAGATATGTTAATAATTTTGTTTGCCCGTATGTTTTTAAAAAAAAATTAAAAGAAAAATTGTTATAATAGTTATTTATGTGGACGAATTGAATTTAATTGAAACCCTGAAAAGGTCTAAAAAGCTATTGAATATTTGAAAAATAAATTTGAAATCAAAGATTTTGGGAAAATGAAATTATGCTTTAGTCTACAATTTGAATATTTGAAAAATAAAATTTTGATCCATCAATCTACATATACTCAGAGGGTATTAAAATGATTTGTAATGGATAAATTATATTCATTAAGTACTCTTATAGTCATTAGAACTTTCGATACTCGTAAGGATTACTTTAGACCGAAAAAAAGACGGTGATTAAACACTTGGTCCTGAAATACCTTATTTAAATACTATTGACGCACTAATATATTTGACTAATAGTGTAAGACCATACATAGCATTTGTTGTAAATTTACGAGCAAGATTTAGTGCAATACCAACACAACGATATTGAAAATGCATTAAACATATTTTTTGTTATCTTCAAGAAACGATTGATCTCGATTTATTATATTAAAAGAATTCTCGACATGAATTTATTGGATATGCATATGTTGGGTATCTTTCTAACCCACATACAGTCAGTTTTGCGGTGGTACTATAGTATCATGGAGATCCACTAAATAAATATTAACTGCAACTTCTTTAAATCATATTAAAATAATAGAAATTCACGAGATTGGTCAAGTTATAAGAATAACTTGTTGAGATCAATGACTCACCACATTTTAAATAATTGTGTTTTGAGAGATGAGAATAATAATCCTCCAACTATTTATACAAAGATAATGAAATTTGTATAAGTCAGTTGAAAGGATGATATATCAAGAGTGATCGAACAAAATATATTTTACCATAATTTTTTTTTACTCATGATGTTAAAAAAAATGGTGAAATAAATGTGTTGCAGATTCGATCTAATTATAATTTACCAGATTATTAACCAATGTTTTACCAACTAAAACGCTCGAGAAAGTGATAAAGAACATTGGGATGCGTCGCTTGTGAGATTTCAAGTGATGTCCACATCAGTGGAAATATTTTTAATGCATAAATTGCGTATCCTACTGAATTTTTTTTCTTGTAAGATTTTAACGAAGTGTATTCATTGTTATTAAATAACACAAGGGAGAGTGTTATGACACTTAACATAATGATATGTGTCATTTAGTTATGTTGAAAAATCATCAAATTTGATGACTAATTATGTTGTCAAATTGGCTATAAATTGCCGTACATTTACATAAGGCTGCGGATCCTTTGTTGATTCAGCCAAGTCAGCATTGTGTTATTTGACCGGGTCAGCATATGTTATATGGGTGACCAATATATATTCTCAGCATATGTCTTATTATAAGATGATATGTGTTATATTATAAATATGTTGAAATATGTATAAATATATACCGGTCACCCCTACAACATATTTTGATTTGGTCAAATCAGCACAATATCCTTTATGTAAGAAAAGGATGACCATTCTCTCTTTCAATTTACACTCATATTTTTCTCTCTTTCGGGTGTGTTTCCTTGTGGGATTTGACTTTTGATTTTATTATTTCAATTTTATTTTTTTAAAATAATATCAAATCAAACAATTGTTTTTTATTTATTATATTACACTAAAATTAAATTTTTTACATTCAAAATATTATATCGATACATACTTATATCACATCAAACAACTATTTCAATTCAAATTTTTACTATTTAAAATCAAAACTCTAAATCAAAATTCCACAAATATATTTTATTTTATTTTTGTAAGTAATAATGACATATTTATAAAATAAATATAATATTAAATTGTATCTGTTTATTTTACTTTGGGTAAATAATAATGATATATTTATAATTAGTATGTAAGAATTATCTTTTATATAAATAAAAAGTACAAGTTATGGACAAAAAATAAAATAAAATAAGCATACATTCGATGATATCCAACTTGAATATATATATATATATATATTTTGAGCCTAATTAAATGTAATTATTTTTATTAAAAATTCAACATTTACCTTTCACAAATATTTCTAATTTATCATTACATTATTATTTTTATACTAAAAAGTAACGGTAAAATTATTTTTTATACTATTTTTAACTATCCATTATCGCTAAAATATTATTCTCTCTATCCGTCTCTAAAAGATATATTTACCTCTTACGTCATTATACTTTACATTAAAAATATTCTTATATTTATATAATTATTTTTATAAATGTCATTATATTAATATTATAAGACACTACTAGAAATATTTTTTATCGTTTCTTTTATTTGTACTAAATTTTGATATAATAATTAATATTCAAATATCAACTCCAAAAAATAAATGTGGCATTTAGAGCCGGACAGATGGAGTATTATTTCTTAAATTTTTCACAAAAAAATAAATGTACACTTATTAGAATGACAGATGGAATATAATTTTCAAAATACTCCTTCATTATATTACAATAAACTAATATAATAATATTTCTTACTGCATTAACTCACTATTTTTTATATTCAATAATATTCTCTTTATCCGTCAAAATTATGGAATTATTCATTCTTAAATTTATATACAATTTATTTATAGTAACAATTTTATTCATTCATAAGTTTATTATTCTTTTTAACAAATAAAAATTAATTTGCCATTATTTTTTTACTTAGTTAACAACTTTTTTTCATTATTTTAATAAATTTTTTATAATATTTTTTTTTCTTTTTACTTTTTACATACCCTATTTTCATATTAAAATGTTACTATTATTGTTTAATTTTTTTTGCATTCAACCAAATCTATATTATTTTACCATACGAGAGAGTATATATTATTAAAATTTATGTCCAATTTAAATGAATAGAAATTTAGTAAATTAAAAAAATAATAATAATATACTCCAGATCATTCAATATGTATATATGTTTTTTAATTGTTATAAAAAAAATATTCTTAGCCTAAATATTCAAAGACACAATTGAGTAGGAAAAGATTATTACATATAATACAAATTAAAATAAAATAAAATATAATTAACTATAAATTCTATTACAGAAAAACTTAGATTACAAATAATTTTTAAAAAAAATACTTATATTAAATGAAAATAAACACCGCCTTCCATGTTCTGGAATTTCAATTTAAATATATAAATAAATTATCCCAATCGTTCCATTCTCCGAGTTTTCTTCTCGTTCCAGCAGCTTCTATTGAGCTCCTCTCTAGAACCCTAAACCCTATAGTGAGATCGGTGGAAGATAATTCTCTTTTACTGCACCACTTCTAATGGCGACTTCTGTCCTTCTCAGATCCATCCGGCGCCGTGGCTTTTGTTCCGAGCCGATTTCTGGTCTCCAAGCCGTACGTCTTTTTTCCGACAGTTCTGTTCGAATCGGTGCATTTCGTTGTTCATTTTGACCGTTGTGGTGTTTTTATCTTAAATAATTGTCTGGGTGCTGGCCTGGTTCAGTTTCTAGTTTTGCTAATTGCTCCTGATTTTGCCATGCCGCGTAGGCTTTTGATTTTGATTTTGTTTCAAACAAGTTTTAATGAAGGAAAGTGGTAAGATATTGACAATTTAGCTAGCGGAAAAGCTTCTTCTGCTTTGGTTCTATAGATTAGTTCGGGTACAATAATCGCAAATTTCATTGCCAAATGCCAATTTTATAGAATTTGTAAAATCCCATTTCTTGTCTTGTACTGGGGAGAATTTTGTTTGCACTTTTCATCTAGTTCTTGCGATGAAGGATTATAAACATTTCTAGCTGCAATTCATTTAATGTTAAGCATCTAATTTTGTGTGCTGATTCAGTTGACCGGACACACAAAGCCAGCATGGGCACTGGGTAACAGATGGGCAGGACTTTCTAGGGCATTCAGGTATATTTGCAGCAATTTTAATCAAATTTGTGAACGCTCATTTAAGGTCTTGTTTAGTGTTAAGAACTAGATTTATTAAATTATTATCAAAGCTAATCATATGTTTAGAATACATAAGACCAACAACACACAGTTAATAAAGAGCAGGTACTGAATAGTTGTTAAATAATTTTAATTGTACACTCATTACGTTAATTGTGTGTTTGTTTGGAGGTTTGGATTTTGGATTTTGGATTTGAGTTTTGAATAATAAAATTTTGAATTAGAATAGTTGTTTGATGTGATATAAATAAAAGTTAGATTAATGTGTTGAATGTAAAGTAATTAAAGTTACGTTAATGTGATTTTATGTTTTTCATGGGAAATTTTTGAAGAAATAGTAGAAATCCTCTAAAATCTTCCCAACAAACCCTAGTAGATACTCATTTAGGACATCAATCCCAATTCCCAACAGAGAAGTGTGTCTTTGTTCCATTGTCCTCACTTAAATGGATCATGTTTGAGCATGGTAAACCATTCCTTTCTGAAGCATGCTAAATTGTTGCCCTAAATAACTGCCTATAGAAGTTTAACCCAGTCTTCTCTTGAAGCAGTACAAAACCAGCTGGAAATGATGTTATTGGTATCGATTTGGGTACGACTAACTCTTGTGTTGCTGTGATGGAGGGAAAGGTAGAATATCTTTTGATGCTGAAGATATCCAGCTATATGTTTTTACAAGATTTGATTTGCTCACTTGAAGAAAGTTTTCATTCAGAATCCGAAAGTGATTGAAAATTCGGAGGGTGCAAGGACCACTCCTTCTGTTGTTGCCTTTAACCAAAAAGGAGAACTTTTGGTCGGCACTCCAGCTAAGCGACAAGCCGTCACGAACCCAACTAACACTCTCTTTGGAACCAAGCGATTGATTGGTAGACGGTTTGATGATCCCCAGACACAGAAGGAAATGAAAATGGTTCCATTTAAGATTGTAAGGGCTCCCAATGGAGATGCTTGGGTTGAAGCAAATGGGCAACAGTACTCCCCGAGCCAAATTGGAGCTTTTGTTCTGACAAAAATGAAAGAAACTGCTGAGGCCTACCTTGGCAAGTCTGTAAGCAATGCTGTGGTTACAGTTCCAGCTTATTTTAATGATGCTCAGCGCCAAGCTACTAAGGATGCTGGAAGAATTGCTGGCCTTGATGTGCAGAGAATTATCAATGAACCGACTGCTGCAGCTCTTTCCTATGGAATGAACAACAAAGAAGGCCTTGTTGCTGTTTTTGATCTTGGGGGTGGAACTTTTGATATATCCATACTTGAGATATCAAATGGGGTCTTTGAGGTATGCGAAAGTTTTGATGATTTGGCATTGCTTGCTCCTCTTGCTGACTGACTTCATTTACATTAATTAACAGGTGAAAGCCACCAATGGTGACACATTTTTGGGAGGAGAGGACTTTGATAATGCTTTGTTGGAATTTTTGGTTGATGAATTTAAGAGAACCGAGGGAATTGATCTGTCAAAGGACAGGCTTGCTTTGCAGAGGCTCCGAGAAGCTGCTGAGAAAGCAAAGATCGAGCTTTCATCCACATCTCAAACTGAAATTAACTTGCCATTTATTACTGCTGATTCATCCGGGGCAAAACATTTGAACATAACCCTTACTAGATCCAAATTTGAGGCTTTGGTGAACCATTTAATTGAAAGGACTCGGGCCCCTTGCAAGAGTTGTTTAAAGGATGCTGGAATATCGACCAAGGAGGTTCATGAGGTTCTCCTTGTTGGAGGGATGACCCGTGTTCCCAAGGTTCAGGAAGTGGTTTCAGAGATTTTTGGCAAGCCCCCTAGCAAAGGGGTGAATCCGGATGAGGCTGTTGCCATGGGAGCTGCCCTTCAGGGAGGTATTCTCCGTGGTGATGTCAAAGAGTTGCTCCTTCTTGATGTCACTCCTCTCTCGCTGGGTATTGAGACATTGGGTGGTATCTTTACAAGATTGATAAATAGAAATACCACTATTCCTACCAAGAAAAGCCAGGTAAGCATTCAAAGTGTTTCTTGTCTGTTATTCTTAAAATTTTTGTCCATGTGTGTGTTCAGCAACTAGTTAAATGAAATTTTCGGCTTGGATTTGTTTATTAATGAATTGATGTCTTATTTTTGAGCCCTCAATTAGTAGATTAAATCAAGCCTTACCATGGTTAAGGCCTAAGCCTTTTGTACTGATAGCATTTATATGTTTTATGGTCTTCAGGTATTTTCGAGGCCTAAGCCTTTTGTACTGATAGCATTTATATGTTTTATGGTCTTCAGGTATTTTCGACAGCTGCAGACAACCAGACTCAAGTGGGCATTAAAGTATTGCAAGGAGAACGTGAAATGGCTTCAGACAACAAGCTGCTCGGCGAGTTTGAGCTGATGGGTATCCCCCCAGCGCCGAGGGGCATGCCCCAGATAGAGGTGACATTTGACATAGATGCAAATGGCATTGTTACAGTGTCTGCCAAGGACAAAACAACAGGTAAAGAACAGCAGATCACGATTCGATCATCCGGCGGTCTATCTGAGAACGAGATTGAAAAGATGGTGAAGGAAGCTGAGATCCATGCCCAGAAAGACCAAGAGAGGAAAGCTCTGATTGATGTCAGAAACAATGCAGACACCACCATCTACAGCATTGAGAAGAGCTTGAATGAGTACAGAGACAAGATTCCGAAAGAGGTGGCGTCAGAAATCGAGACGGCTATTTCAGATTTGAGAAACGCAATGACCACTGAGAACATCGATGATATCAAGGCCAAACTTGATGCAGCAAATAAAGCTGTGTCCAAGATCGGAGAGCACATGTCTGGTGGCGGTGGTTCTAGCGGTGACTCTCAAGGTGGTAATCAGACGCCGGAGGCAGATTTCGAAGATGTAAAGAAGTAGAGATATAGATAATCAAATCAAACAAGTGGAGAGGAAGGAGGTATTTTGTATCATGTATATCTTCTTTCTTTCTTTCTTTCTTTCTTTCTACACTCAAAGAGTTTGGACATCATATGATAATAGAAGAGGAACCAACCAACCAACCAACCAACAAAGCCAGTAGCAGCATTTGATTGATACATTCATCCTAACAGCCTTGCTTATTTAGTGGTAGTATTCATTGTTTGTTTGTTTATTGCCTTGCTGTGATGCACGTGTGTGTGTGCCCATTCTGACATGAATTTGCTCTGTGAAAGAAGCAACAACAAACCTTGGACTTGTAAAGTCCAAAAACAATAAAAAAATAAATAGACCATATATGGCACGCTTCCAACACATAAATCAATTTCAATGGCTTCTTCCATTTCCAGTAGAAGAATACGGGTGGATGGATGATTTGGTTTTTTTTCATTTAGAAAATCACCCCAACACAATATACAAAACATACACATGTGTATACTTATCATAGTAGCTCTATGTACACAGAGAGAGAGAGAGAGACAGACCACTTAAATACTATCTATCTATCTATCTATCTATATCTAAATCTAAATGCATCATCATCATTTATCTCATCCCTCCCTCCTATCCGAGTCTGCTTCCAGACAGACAGACCTAACAACTAACTAACCAACTTTGAGTATTTGTATTTGAGCTTAGTTTAATTGCTACATTGTCAATAGAGCGACTCTGCTTTGCTTTGTTGCTGCTGATTCTTCCTTCCTGCCTGCCTGCCTGCACACTTCACTCAAACTCAGTCAAATCATTCACCCAAAATAATAACATAAAAAGATCCATCATTCATTTTTCATATACTCCTACTTACTACTTGCTAGTATAATAAAAACACATACATCCCAACATAAATGCATCTATTTACCTTAATCTGCAAAAGTCACAGTGAATGAAATCAAACAGCCGCCAACCCAACAGCAACAGCAACAGCATCAGAGAACCATTCGCTCCTCTCGTATGCATCCCTAAATGTGTCATGAATGTGCATCATCCGCATCCGAATCACTTCCTGACGAACTCCCTGAATCCGAATCTGTCAAAAATGCCATTCCCCTTTAAGAGTGAGTATTACTGCCCGCTAATGAATTATTAATTAATGACGACTTTGAATAGTGCTAATACCGCTTGAAGAAGAAGAGTCGCTACTTGAGCTGCCCGAACTACTCAAGCTACTACTAGCACCATCGCCATCAGCACCGGCATCTCCACCTCCACCTCCACCTTTATCGTTGCCCCCATTATGAACCTGATCTTCTTCACCACCACCACCACCACCACCGCCGCCGCCACGACCACCACCACCTCCTTCTTCTTCTCCTCCATCTCCTCCTCCTCCTCCTCCTCCTCCAAAGCTAGCAGCAGCCCCACCTTCATCCCTCTCAATCTCCACAGGGGGGAATGTAGCTGCCGGCATGTCATCCTCTATGTCCACATCTTCGTCCTCATTGTCCTTCAACCTCTTCACCAACTCATCCTTCTTCTCACTCAATCCCTGGAACCATTTCAAAATGTTAGCACCTCAGAAATTAAGAGTACACATAAAAGCACATCACATAATTAATATAATTACCGTATCAGCCTCATGATTCGGGGTTAGAGGAGCAGCAACATTGTTGTTCATCAGCGCTTGCCGTTTACTCTTGCTCACAAACTTTTTCCAGTTTGTCACAAACCGATCAAGCTCCCACAATGTCTCAGTGTCAAGGGCCTCAATGTCAAGCTCTATTTCGTCGCCGTCCTGGGCCAAATGCTCATTCCTCTTCCTAATAATCTGAATCAACTGAGGCATCTTCTCCTGAGGCAGACTCTGCAACCCAATCCCAAGTTTCTGCTTCTCCTCCATAGTCATCCCCCTCTTGTTTGGGTCCTTCGCCCTCGGCTTCGGCTGCTTCACTGTCCCTCCTCCTCCTCCTCCTCCTCCTCCTCCCCTCCCACCTTTTTGTTCCTTCACCAAAGGAACTTGCTCTTGCTCTTGCTCATGTTCTTGCTCTTGAACTAGCTCATGGTTTACTGCCAGAGGATGGCTCTGGTTCGGAGTGGATGCACTTGAATGTGCTTGTGTAGGCATATGCATCTTTTCTTGCTTTCTCAGTACTGGGCTTCCTCTTTGACTTCCCTTCTTTCCTAGATTTGGGGAAGCAGAAATCCGGCCGTGATTATTAATATTGTTGATGTTGTTGTTCCATGAGCTCCCTTGCAATTCATCATTAGCCCCAAATGGGATTTCATCAATAACCCTAGATTCTTGAAACTCCCTCTTTTCCCTAACATAGCCATCGATCTTCTCCTGAATTGGCTTGAACAATTCCTCGAACCTCACCAGCATCTGCTCAGCCATTCCATGGACGGGATCGGTTTTCGGATTGTACAGCAGGGCATTGTTGAATGTCAATCTGACGTCAGCTGCGAACTCAGATGGTGTGGGATACAGATTTTTGGACAGATTTGATTTCACCGTTCCCAAATCCATTGGATGCTTCACAATGTGGTGGTAATCGTGGAGACCTAAAGTTACAGCATCTACAGGCGTTTTGAAAACGTACCCGTACTTGTGCTTAATCAATTTTGCTACAATCTGGCGGCATTCCTTTAACGAAGCTTCAAAATCTGTGCACTCGGCGTTACCATTGTCAGGGCCTTTGGTTGGTTTGTTTGGGATTGCCGATCCGAAGGCTGCGATTGGCCTTTTCTCGATAGCAGTTTTCTTCGACTTCGAGTGCGGCCTAGGGTTTCCGGAATTGCTCAATTGACCGGATTCGATTCGGCTCTGCAAATCGCGGATCTGTTCAAGCTCCGCCCTCCATCGCTTTCGGAGCTCGAGGATCTCCGATTTCGAAAAGGAGGCGACGTTGAAGGTCACGTAACCTCCGTAATTGGAAGCGTCGCGGCAGGTGGACGCCTGGTTGAAGGAATAAGCATCGTCGGAGGCGGTCTGCGTCACGGCGGGGGAATCAAGGTTGTACCGGGGAGCGACGCCGTTGCCGGCGGTGTGGTGGTGGAGCTGCTTCTGCCTTTTCTTGAGAATTGGGTTAGGGTTAGGGTTTGGATTCAGGTACGGGGTGGAGTACGGAATCTTTCCCATGTGGGGTTTGATGGATGATTTGGGCGAGAAATGAGATGGCCGAGGGGTGCTTTTTAAAGGCGATTAGATCTACCCGGAAATACTTTGGGCAGGATCTGGACCGTCAGATCGCGTAAGTGCCGCCATCCAATGGTTCATACGGATTTGTTTGCTGGCAGAGGGGTTGACCGGGGCATCTGTCATCGACGACAAAGATTAAAGCTTCCAAACACGTGGCGGCATGATGACCGTCGGATGAAGTTGTGGAAATGCCGGACGGGATGTTGGGCCCGTGTTTCTTATATTTACATATTTGTGCTTTTAGGGTTTGGAGTGAATTTTTAAGAATTGGGGGGCATGTTATTAATATGTATAGCGAATTATGGGCTTGGGGTCGGTGGCGGATAAGGGGGTTAAAATTGAACACTATTCCAAAACACAAATCCGTTCCACCGGAAATATTTTATGTTTGAATTTGGGTGTTTTTATTATTAAAAAATTAAATAAATGTTAAAACAAAATTAAAAAAAAAACATAAATTGAATTAGTTCGGATTTCTGACCAGATAATCTAAAAAATAAAATAAAATAATCTAATAACCAAAAACTCTAACTTGATTTTGATATAATTAATAAAAAATTACCTGCTTTAAAATAACAATTAATGAATTTTTTTTTACTTGATTTTAAGTAGCAATTAATAATTTTTGTTACTTGTGGTGTGTTTCATAATTAGCTGATAGTTGATAGCTATTAGCTGATTTGATTAGCTGTTAGCTGATTTAATTAGCGGATTCGATTAGCTATTTCTATTAAAATGTTTGGTAAAATAGCGGTTTGATATTAGTTGTTTATACGTATAATGACAATTAAGGACATTTTATATTTTATTTTCAAAATATTTAGTTGAATTTTTTTCAGTGGGTAGACTTTTTTTATAATTTTATTATTAATTTTAAAAATTAGAAAAAATTTAATAAGATATTTATTTTTATTATTTTAAAAATATTTTGTAAAAAATTAATACAAATTTATTGAAAAATATATATATATTTTAATTAGAAATAGTATAAATATAAAAGAGCAAAAATTATTAACATATGTATTTTTATCAGATTAATTTTTAATAAATATATATTTATATTAAATTTATAATTTTAAATAAATATATTCATTTTTTAATAAAAATATTATATGATAAAAAATTGTTATATAATTATTTCAATAATATTAATATTTTTATATTATCTTTATTCTAAAAAAATTTAAAAAAATTATAAATAAAATAATTATTTTAAATTTATAAATATAAATTTATAAGTTATTAGAAGAAAATATATCTAAATAATTAATAAATAGTGTAATAAAAAAAATATGTGAATATATGTGAAAGAATTAATTAATTTTAAGGGCAATTAAGGAATAAGAAAAATTAAAATAAAAAAGCTAATAACAAATTTTGATATATACAGCTTTTTCAAAATTAGCAGCTGATTTACTGGTTAAACAACTAAAAACTCTTGAATAAGTTAAAAATTCTTGAAAAAATTGTTTACTAAACACCCTCGTAATTTCAAAGTAGAGATGTATTTTTATTGATTTTTTATTTTTTAGGAGTCCATGAATTTTTATACATTTATGTAATTCATAGATTTAGGGTACAAATTAACTTATTCTGTTTATTCATTTGTATAACTTTTTATCATTTTGACTATATTATTTATTAATTTTTATAAATTTCATAAATTTAATAAGATTGTAGCTTAATGTTTTATTATTTATATTATTTTTGGAAAAAAGTAAATATATATCTAAATAAAATTAAAATAAATTTTTTTTAAAAAAAAATGAAATTTAAAAATTAGAAAAAAGAAACGAAAACTTTAAAAATAAATAAATCTAAATAAGTGGTTTAAACCTGACTAATCATTTTTAAATCGTAACCAGAATTGAAACCGACAAATACAAATTGAAATTGTGACTTAGAAGACGTTGTATCCGAAAATTTTAATATTTTAATTTCACAATAGCTTAAGAAAATCGATCGGAAAATAAATAAAGATCCCTTAGGGCACCCCAGAAAGCTCCTAAGAAGAATGTTTCGTATTTGCTGAAAATGAGTTTAATGAACAATCCGCCAAACAAAATAGATTAGGAAAAATTTTAAAAGATAAAATTTCATTAAAAATTGAGAAATAAAAAAACTAAAACATACATGCGAAATCGAAATAAAATTGAAACAAATATAAAGACACTTTATGCACCTAACACCATCAATCGATTGGATGGTCTAGCACCGGCTCATCAATACATAGGAGTTGGCCTAGCACCAATTCAACTATTCATCTCATTAGTTAAACTAGCACCGGTTTTACTAATTTGCAAATCAACAATCACGCATAGTATACCACATAATCATATGTGCACATAATCATTTTGCAAGAAATCCCAACTCACAACAATTTGGTTATACATAAACAATATGTTCATCATGTTCTCATATAACTTCTCATTGACATAAATTTTGTTCTTAAAGTCTATCATTCAAGCGACAATCAGAAGACCCACTTGATATACGATATTTAACCCCTCCACCTTACTTGGAGGAAGCTAACCAACTCAACTACCACTTAATCGTAGGATTTGGTTTGATTGAACTTAAGCTAATCACCAAATACGTTTAATCAACTTACTCGAATTCAGCACAAATCTTATAAAATTCACCATAAACTCATCGGTAGTCCAAACATTATGAAATTAATGTCAAATCAAAGCTAAGATCCTTAAATTTTATTTAAAGACCAAAAATTTGATTAGTAATTTGAATTACATCCAAAGTATTGTCTTAGCTCAGAGAGTCTGTTCGATTCGAGAAAACATAGCAATTTTATTGTAAAAATCACTAAAAATCTATTTTAAAAGTATATAGATCGTCGAATACCTCCAGATTTAAAAAAAAAAAGTTAAAAATCTGGATTAAATACACCCAAATTTTAAAAAATCCAATATAATCTTATAAAATAATGATTGAATACACTTTATAAATTTCATAGACAATATGATTGTATTCATGCTCATATTCACAACCATGTTAAATACCATTGTATTCATATATGTATTTAGAGTTATGTTTGTGCTCATATTCACGATATTGTTCTTAACATAATTATAATTAAAGTCATATTAACACTTCCGTTTTAAATATAATTATGTTTAGCCATATTTATTATCATATTTATTTCTATGTTCAAATTAAATAATTTGAACATAGAAATATACATAATAACTTAAAACATGACTATATTCATGAATAGAGAGATATGATTGTATTTAGAATAAAACATAAACACAGACACAAATGTGGTAGTGTTCCGAATATGACTATGTTGTGTATCATTGACTATCATTAAAATTTTGTCACATTTCTATATTTTCGAGTCATTTAAGACCACATGTTATAATCAGTGTCTTTACTGTATTACATTTTTTTATCTTTCTCATTTACGTCATATTTATTCACGTCAAATTTATAAAATTCATAATAATTACTCTATTCTTCCCACTTAATTTGTCCACTCTTTCTATTTTCATCAATTCCACATAATTTGTTATTTTTTTTAAAAAAATATAATTATACATTTTAATTGTATTTTAAAATTTATAATATATATATTTTTATTTTAAATAAACTATTTAATCATTTTAATCTTTATCTATAATTAATTTTATTAAATCATAGTTATTTTTACTAATAAATTTTTTAATTACTTACTAATAATATATAAATAATACTTTATTATATAATATTATATTTTAATTTTAAAGTATTAATTTATATATAAATTGGAAAAGTATTATATAAATTTTTTTTTATATAATAAAATATTAAAATTATTCGAATTTTTGAAATCAGTGATATTTAAAAATTTGAATGATTGAAATAAATTCGAATTAATACGTGCCCCAATAATTTTTCGTTTCCGATAATTTTGTTAAAGGGCAATTGAATAAAAAGTAAATATAATTTTTAAAAAAATTGAAAAATATATAACTGAGTTATGATTTTTTTGAAATAAATTTGATTTAGTATTTGTCTAAATAAATTATCGATAAATTTAAATTTTTAAAATTTAAAATCTTAAAATTTGAATAATAAATGAATTAAATAATTATTGTTTATAATTTTTATTAGAGATACTAAATTATTAAAAAAAATGTAATATTTTTGTATTAGCTGTATTTGTTAATTTGAATTGATTTCCTAGCATGAGGTTTTGACCCTTGCTTAAAAAAATATATATATTTGGATTTGTTTGTATTTTAAGCTCAAAAGTGATATTTAGAAGCATGTTGATGGTAGCTTTCGAAAATAAGTAAAAATATTTTTTAATTAAAATAATTATTTTATCAATAATAATAATAATAATAAAAATTTTAAATAATTAATAAAATTTAAAAATAAATTATAAAATTTTTATAAAAAATTACTATTATATTAACAGTATTATCATTTAAAAATACTTTCAACTTTATAATATCCAAATAATTAAAAAAAAAAACAATTTTTTTTTTTTATAATATCATTCAAACACAAAATCGAATTGATTATACTATCGGCTTCAACTTTTGTTTTTATTTTTTATTTTGTTTATTTTTTAAACTAATACAAACGGACTTTAATACATTTGGATATAATAGAAATTGGATAGGGTAACAAAAGTAATGAAACATATGGAAATTTTAATAATAAAAAATTTATAATTATAATATAAAATAGAAAATAGAAAAAAATTAATTATGTATAATAGGATTGTATGACTCTCCTCCACCATATTTCGAAATTCCCCACCCCACCTCTGCCTCCGGCGCCGGAGGTGGTTGCTTCTTCGTTGAATTTTCAGATTGTTATAGCAGATTTAGGGGTGGCTCTGAAAATGACCAAGGCGACTCCCGGCCGCTGGACAGCGTCCATGCTGCGCGGAAAAAGCCTAACAAACTGCCTGCTTTCTCGATTGGTTGGGCGAAGAGCTCCACATTTACTGATGTCGGTAGTATTTCTTCTTTTCAAATTAATAGTACGCATTCTCGCACTTCTCTCACTCTACTTGCTTGTTTTGCACGAGAAAATCTTAAGTTGCAATTCTCTGGTGAGGATTTTGTTCACTACTTTACTTTTTCCGATTGAATACTAATTTTTGTGTTGATCGAAATTAGTGAATCTAAAGTTAATCCCTCAGACGAGTGTTATGTGTATCGATTATCTCTTTAGAACAATTCCATTTTGTTATTTCCCTAAATTTCTGTTGAATTACCCAATTTATGATCTACTCAAATTCCAAGAATTCTAACAACATTGCTTCTGGTTTTGTTGATGGAGTTGTGAATCTGTAGAGCTGCGAATTTTTCTGATTTGACCGTTGTTAAGCATGACTTTGTGTTCGAGCAATCATTACCATAACATTCCATATCTGCACCAAGTAATCAGCAATTTGACTTTACAATGCTATCTTTAATCTAATTCTATTTTGGCTGCAGCTCAAATAAAGCGAAAATCAATAGGATGCTAACTGATTTTTACGAACAGACACCTCGTCCCAACCCATCTATTCATTGGCGGTGCAGAGTATATGGTAATTTAAGGTGAATGTGGAAAGAAGGTATACATGCTAAAGTTATTGACTGAATTTTTATGATTGAATCTTACTGGTTTTGATCTTTGTAAGTTTATTACCCCAATTCTTTCTTTACCCTGGATTGATTGATAACAGTCATTATTGTGACCAGAGGAGATAAGGATGACGACCCTCAAATTGATATGACTTTGAATGAAGGGCCAGATTTATTGATTCCTCAGGAGGTTTGAGAGAAGCTCCATAAATGGTAAATGTTGTAATTGATAGTTTAAACTTTTGATTATCCACTTTATAGATCCCCGGAATGAAGTTCAGTGCAAAGAATTAAATTTTGATAAATACTTTAGTAATCGAATTCATTGGATATTCTATTTAAGATCATTCCTCATCTGCAAATCTTCAACATGCTTATTGACTTTGATCATTCTCTTTGTTGAATATGTGCATCTGGATTCTGCCTGCTGCGTTCACATAGGGGAAAGGCTGTTTATTACTTTTTGGTCTGGGTTGTTGCATACTATATGTTGAAACTTATTTCTCGATTTTCAGGTACAGAGGGCCAGCATTTCCGCGGAATGTGATCTCAATTGGGTATAAACAGAAGCACTTAGTGGTGGAAATCTCCCCCTTGTGTCTCAGGCTAATTGATACCGGAGACGAGGGCGAACTAACTTTAAATTGAGCAGAAGGGTAATAGAGAGCTCTTCTTTAAGATCAGTTTTGGATGATACATGGCTTTAAAGAAGAGAGATTTTTTTACAATCTCTGAATCTCACATTTATATCATGGTAGACATTATCTTCCAAGTGTGTCAACAATGTTATTTTACTCTACTGCAGTGATTGATGCGGGATATTGTAAAATCTTCTTTACATTTTATTTCTGCACATCACCTATTATTTAACACATGTAAGTGCTTTATGAATAATTACTATTTTGTGTGGTTGATTGTTGAAGAAGTTATGTTTGCTTACTTTGGCTAATTGTTGATGCATAAATTGTTGAAAGTTATATTTATCTTAGCATTTTAAATTTTCATCCTTTATAAGTTCTGGACATACTTTCCTTTTGCCTTAAGTAAAAGGTCACTTATATTTGTATAATTGCATTGTTCATTTACATATGGATAGAATCGAACTTTTGACATTTTCTTAATGCTGTCAATATTATAGCTTGGTTTGATCATTTACAAACTAGAAATATCTTTAATATTGTTTAGAGAACCTTCTGCCCTTGATGGATTGATCTGACCTTTCATTGACTTAGTCTTGTTATAACCAATTAAAAATAAAATTGTTCTTATTGATTTCTTGTAGTTTATAATATGAATTCACATGCTCTAATTCTGTCTTCAAGTTACTTTGCACGATCTCTATGTAAAAGTGTGCCATCTTAGAGGTTTAAATCTCAAAGAGGTTTGTTTATACACAACACTTTTATTGTTTATTTTACTCTTCTAGAAATCTTGTTGAGAACATTGTAGATGCATTCTTTTATTGTCATGTTTGCATCTGGGACTACTTCGGTGAAAGGAAGCTAAGTATATTAACTCCTTCAAGCCAACATTTTGGGGAGACTAATTTGCAAATGAATCAATCGGTAAGTTCATACTGCCTTGTTACTATCACAAATTTCACAAGTAGTTGTATCTTCAACTCCTTAATTTGTGTGGCGACTATGGTTTGTTTTATTTGTTTTTTTCCAGCAGATTAATTCATATTATGATTGAAAAGTAAACATATACTTCAAGCTTTCAAGTTGTTGGTGCTTGAGATTACATGGTTATTTTAATAAGGCTTTCTTTGCGGCTCTATTTTTTGTCACTTATTTTGTTGAACTTGGATACCTTTTTGATAAACTATATGCATAGCTCTTTTCACTTCTACCTTTCATCTTTTCGTAGATTCTTCTTGAGGCGCAAACTAATGGATATGGTCTTGTTCCATGTTTCTTCATGGGTTGCCAATCGGCACCCCTAGTGGGTTTATATAAGCAAACATTAATTTGAATCTCCAATACATAATTTGATAATTCCTATTGCCATTTTATTTGAAATTGTATATATTTAGTCGTTAATGTTCATTTGTGTTGGAATACTTCCAGGTCTTTGTATTTATAGTTGCTAAGTATGACACTCCCAAAAATTTACTTAATCTGGTATGTTATTTCGTTCCAAATGTTTGTTTTAGACTTATGTTTGTTATAGTCTACTATAAAATATGTAATTTATTGTTTCTCAATTGTCTACACATCCCCTTTCGATTCGGTAGACAAACTATACTTTAAATGTCGAATTCCAAATTTGAGATAGAACTATGCCTGCAGATCAAATACATAGATTCGTCAAGATGGCAGAAATTGTACACTGCGCATTTACTTTTCATTCGAAATTTTAGATTTAACTTTTTTTTCTCTAGGTATGTAGTGACAAATTTGGAAGCCATAAATTGTGCTGTGCGCATTAAATTTCTTTTTAGTTAAAATTTTACTTCAAGACTTCATATCTTCGTAGGAGAACTTACACTTTAAATAACACATTTATGTTTGCTTCTAATTATTTTGTCTTTGTACTAAATTGTTATTATTTGATGTACTATGAAAAGAGATGTCTCATGTCTCATTTTTTGACTTTGTTTACATCTTTATTCATAGTTTAGATTAGGTATTGGTGCTGGTATGATATTTGCAACCTTGTGCTCAGATTGGAATTTTATTGGTAGTATATTTGTACTTTAATTATTTATTGCATGTTAAAATTTTAAATATACAGTTAACACTATAAATTAGAAAAATAAAAGAAATTGGAGGACTAAGAACTTCCTCATATTCTCTTTCTCTTACTTTGCTAATTCCCTCATGTGTACATTCTGAGTGATCGTCATTTTCAGGATTGCTGCTTCGTACCCATTCTCGGTGAGAGCTTTAGGAAGACCGTAAGAAACGGTCAAATGGGGCTGACATTTTGCAAACTTTCAATACTTTCTCTACAACTCTAAGACACATGCGTGTCCTCATCCTTCAATATTCAAAAGTTCTGATCTAATCTTTGATCAAACCCTGGCTGTCAATTTTATTGTCAATAATTTCAAACAAGTGATTTATATTGAAAATAATTTTAGAAACCCAAAATTTAGTTTTAATATTTTCAATGATCAATTTCGTAGACATGTGCTAAACCTTCTTTGAGAATATGTTCCGACAAAATTTGAATTTTTATGGCTTTTGAAGAAGAGTTTGGATTTGAGATTCCAGGCGATGAGGCGGCTGTTGACTTCATCACATCTCAACCTCGGGAAAAATTTATTTATATATATATATATATATATATGCTTTTCAGGGTTTGGCTTTCTTCCCTTCACTCTTTTGATTAAAAATCGATGTTTCAAAGATTTCTATCTTGGTCAATTACATTTTACATTAGTCTGCTGCATAATACATTCTCCTTACCTTGTGAAGGAAACCTTGGAGAATGAGGTCAATTTTTGTGTTTGTAATTAGCTTCCTACCCATTCCATCTGTGTTATAACTATTCCATAAAAAAAAAACATTATGCTCTGGTTATCTTTGAGTATATTTGATCCTTTTTTGTTCTCGTTGTTGAAAGGATTGAGATTATTAATCTCTTGTTTTTGCTGACCTATGTTTTTTATCTCATAATTGGTTTCCACCAGACGACACACCTTGGGATTGAGGTGAGAAGATGCTTCTTTTGGTTAAGAGAAGATGAAACTAACTATCAGCCCAGCAGTTTCTTTTCAATCCACTAAAGTTTAAGCTCCAAATGTAATAGTTGTGAATGCGCATGGCCCCGGCCACATTTTCCTTTTTACTTGTCTTAATCAATCACTTATTCTAATATTTGTAACTTTTCTTATAGGCACATTTAAATTGACACTTCAGTTTACAGAGGATTACCCTAATAAACAATGGATAGTTCAATTCATATCTAGAATGTTCCATCCTAACACCTTATTATGCTCAACTATCAACAATTTATATCTGATGGCGCATGAAATTATTTGTTTCCCATGTAATGTTATTGTTGGCAATTGACACTACTTTTGAATATGAAATTTAAGCATCTGAAAGATCTTTACCACTTGTCGCTGTATTCTGACTCAACAGCAGCTGCTGGAATAGCATGATCAGGATATACAATGTAATGAACTTATTAGTCATGCTCTTCTAAGTGACACTATAGCACAATTCAATGCAGTTATTGTTAGTTTTGTATTTTCATAATAGTTATGTTGTATAATTCTGACCCCCAAGTTTGTAATTATTTCATCCGGGGACAAGTCTCTCATAGACCATGTAAAATTCTTTGAAACTCTCAACATAGCTGGAGTTAGCCAACATAGCTTACTGTTCTCTAAGGCGGCAGCTCCATGAGGAGTGGAGGTAGTGGAGGAAGTGAGAAGGTGATATACTTTATTTAAACTTTATCGATTTAAATGTTCATTTAGTTTTTGGATAAAAATTGTGATGCCTGAGAAAGTTGATAGGGAAATGTTATATTACTGAATTTCACCTTCTTATCGTTATCATGTATGAATGTTGTTATGTTATCCTCATTGCCTTATAAATGAGCCGGAATACTGTGTCTTTGAATGATATAATTTATCTCCTTATTTCGTCCACAGGCCAACAGAGAATGTGTTTATGGGGAATGCACCTTGGCAACCATTCCATGAACAAGATGTTGATGGGCATTTCTGTTGATTGAAAAACTACACTGCTTTCTCACTCATAAATACTTAATGATTGTTTGGTGCGACGAAAAATTTTTCACTCATAAAAGTCACGTATGTGAGGCATTTGTTACAGCGAGCAAAAGCTAGATGGCGAGTGATGGTGTTTAATAGCAGAGGTTGTGAGGACAACCTTGTCACTACAACTCAGTGTTTTTGGATGTTATCATTCTTTAGTGTAAAATCAAAGGCAGGTAAATTAAAATATTGATTGAATTTAGCATCCGTCCAATGATCCTATGCATATGCATTTTACTTTTGTTTGCTAAATAATCACGAGTAGATGGAGATGTTGTATTTGCTAGTCTTGACATCCATCCTTAATTACGTTCCAAATAAATTGGAAATAATTCATGTTCTCATGAGTGGATGGAGATGTATCACCGTATTCCTATTGTGCATCTCTTGCTGCTATAACCTTTTCACATTTGATTATATTCTTGTATACTATTATATAAAATTCAATATTCAACACCTAATATTTTGTTTTCTTATAATTTTTCACATCAAACATATATCATTAATGCAACATTGATCATCATTATGTATGTGTAAGGTTGTATAAGATTTTTTACATTACACTACACCCGTGTGGCATTGTGCGTGCCGGGTTCTAGTATATCTATAATGGCATTGTGCGTGCAGGATTCTAGTAACTTATATATATACAACTTATATATATATAATATTGGAAAAAATGGAACAGATGACACCCAAAGTTTCTTCTAGCTATATATATAAGAGTTGGTGCACAAACTAGTATGTTCCTCTCTTGGTTATGGATTAGTGTTCGTATGTAGTTCGCCGTCTGTTGAAGGTATTTTGGTGTCTGATTTGGGGGAAATGAGGATTCTGTCAGAAATGAAGGATTTTCTTGCAAATCGGAGGAATGCTTTGGTGTTTCAATCTCCATTCGAAGATGAGAAAGCTCTTTGCACAAAGCAGTGTACTCAAGGTTGACTGTTACATGTTTTTTCTTTTTTGGTAACTACTATGTTGCTTTAACGAGATTATTTGAGGAGTTTTTCTGATTTCACCATTTTAGTTCGTTTCTATTTTGTTCCTGTATCGATGAATTAGGTACTTGTTCATTCTCGAGTGGTGTGGTACATATTGTGGTTTTTGATAGAGTAGATCGTGGATTTATTTCTTCTATTAAGAAAAAGGAATTGCTAAATGAACTTTATACATTTCTTTATTGGTAGTGTAATTTGTACTGATACTATTATTTTCCTATAATAAACTGCTTTGATATTATGTCACTTGTATAGTATCTAACAAACTAATTTGGAAGCCAATTCATAAGTGATTATGAACATCCATTTATTCGTCTTGTATCATAATCTAGAAGTTATCAAATTATTAGTTATGAATTTGTTTAGAAGAATCTCATCTTCTTGGTGATCGAATTATTGATATGGTGAATTATATCTCCAGCATTGCTAAATAACTCCCCTCATATCATTATTGTCTGTACGTACAGTACAACACAGCACTGTTTGATTTGGATCATCGTCTCATTCACAATCCTAATCCTCGTGCCATCCTACTACAGATAAGTCTATGGTTGTATTCTTTTATAAATTTCTCATAAGAAATTTTGTTCATTAGCTTTTCTTCTTCAGTTCTTATTCATATTTGGTAATCTTTCTAAATGTTTAGACAATTTAATGTGTTTCTTTTCCTTGTTGTGGACAAATGCTTGAAATCCTGTGGATTTGTTAAACTTGTTTGCTAATAATTTGTTTGGTGTAAGTGAGCCCGAAAGCCTACATATTTGTATGGAAAATGTGTTTATTATTGTTTTGTAGCTTTAATATAGTGTTTTGCTTTTTTATTCATTTGTGCTTATGTATGTATGTATGTATGTAAATTTTGGAGTGAAATTGCTGTGGATGAGTTAGATACTTCCAAACAGATTGAGCAGATTCTAGTTGATTATCCTAGCACATGGTTCACTTTTGTTATGCCTGCACATACATACATTCATATGCAAGCACTGCCTCCCTGTATATGTCTCTTAGCTTATTCAAGCTTGTCTGTTGATCTGTAGTTCTCAAATACTGCTTAGAATGCTGCAGATTTCAGGAGTTTGTAACTTATATTTTTCATGTTTTTGGGAGTTTCTAGTGTCACATATACATGATAGGTGTTCACTGAGAAACTCTTTGCATAAGATTCTCTATGCTGCTGGTCATTTTCTTGATCTTTATTTGCCCTTGTTTGCTACTTTTCCAATTTGATAGAGTATGCTCTATCCCAGGTTGATATTTGCCTAGAATGAAAATTTTTTGGATCCAGGGGAGTAGGGGTCAAAATCTCAAGAACGAAATACTAGTTCAGAATCCATCTCTGCCCAAAAACTCTCCAACTAAGAATCCTTCATCTGTCATTGGATGAAAATAATGCAAATCCTATATATCAAGCTTCTGAAGAGAGAACTCTTTGAGGATTGTGAGTCTATTTTGGATTGGAATTCGATTTAGCATTCTGCTGCTTTGACTTGCTATTATTACTAATGGTTTTACCAGAAGAGATTTTATCTGCTTTCCGTTTGGTACATGATGAGATTACCGATGAGGAAGTGACCTTGGAAAAATGTAGAACTTCTGCATATTGCGTACAAGAAATTGAGAAAGAAGTTGGAATCAACTCAAGGTTTGATATGGGCTAGTTCTGTAAAAAACTTATTTCAAGTTGGCATTGATAATTTTTTCGTAGATTGCTCCCAGTGGAAGAAAAATGGGAAGTGTCTTGGTATTTTGCTCTTATTTGAGTTGAAGCAATCTTTAATTGAATCTTTAGGAAGCCAACTGGGACCTGATGTTGTAGATAACATACATCAAGAGGAGAAAACACTTGAGCAATGCATCAACCAATTCAAAAATTTTGAGGGAAACAGAGCTACTTTGGATTCCCAGCTTAGAGAAGCAATTCAGGATCAAGTAATCTTTTTTAAAATTTTATCTATTCTATTGTTGGTAGTAGTTGTTGCACATTTTAATTGGTTTGTCAATTTAGATTTTTATGGTTATTGAATGTACCCTAGTTCTGTTAAAGAATAGGAATATTTTGGAATTTGTAGATGTATGCACATAGAATTGGTTTTAGGCAAGGAAGAGTAGACTAGTATATTTTTTGTCACAAAGGACTATAATAGTCTTAGTCTTACAATGACGACTTTGCAAGAATCAAAGCTAGAGCTGGATTCAGAGCGAGCTACTTGTAAAGACCTCTCTTTATATGCGTAGCGCTACTTTTTAGATCGATAGAACAAATTTGTTACGCCTTGAATATTATTAAGTTTTAATCTTCATTGGTAACTTGGATCAACAATGGTTGTAGACTTCTTTCATTGGTTTATTCTTGTTATGACCTTTGTTCTTAGCTGTATATCATTGAATTCAGAAATAACCATTTAAAGTAGAGTCTTTTTTCATCCCCATAAAGTTTGGTTATTTTCTGATATTTGGGATCGTTTCCTCAGTTGTTTAGCTATTGGGTTCTGTTTTAAGTTTAGTTTAGACATGACATGACCCTTCCATCTCCTCAATAAAATAGAAATACTACTTGCCATTTAATCAACAGAATTCCAATTGTTTCATGTACATATAAGCATTCAATTTTATTAGGTTTTTTGTCGTCATTTAGAATACATTATCTAGTTGACGATTATTTGCTACGAAACTTTTATTCTCTATAGACATACATAAGTAGTAGAGGAACATTAATTTGTTTTTGATATTATGCATGCATAAAGAAATTGAAGGAACTGATTGTTTTCTTCTATAAGCAGATGTCTGATGATTAGTAGAAATGATTCTTCTGTAGAAAGCTGAGGAATAGGACGATCAGGATCAACAATTGTAGGTTGATTGGGTGTGGCCAGCCATATGTTGACAATCGTGTTCGTGTCGATCAACGGGTGGGTGTAGATGCTCTTTGACCAGAATGAGCTTTGTAGGATCTCAATTGATTACGTCTGTATTATATCTGGGTACAAATCTTCTTCTATTAATATTATGAGATATTAACGGAAGTATTTTTGCAATTTTTTTTTTAATTTGTACTACATTTTAATATAATAATTAATATTCAAAAATCAATACGCAAAAAGTATGAGACCTTAAATACTAAGGTAGTACTCCCTCCGTCCCAAACAAGGTGCAACATTTACTTTTGGCATGAGATCTTAGGTGAATAGTATTAAGTAAGATAATTTAAAAATTAAGTGATGTGATGGAGAGAGAAATATATATTTTTTATTTTTTTATTCGGATGATGTGAGAGGATAAAGTGTGAGATAGAGATTAAGTATAATTGATTATTTTCTATTTTAGAAATGTTACAGGGTGTTTGGGACATACCAAAAAAAAATGTTGCAGGGTGTTGGGTAGGAGGGAGTATTTTTTAACACTTTGTGTAATGTTTCTTTTTAAATAAAATAATCTATTATTAGTCATAAGAACATAGGTTATACTCGGTGTTTCTAGTAGGAAAAATCGCAACAAAATATTATACATTTATACCCCATTGTCACTTTTATTTTATATTTATCTCGCTAATAAAATATATTCGAACCTCCTCCCTGCCGGAGCTCGACTTCGGCGTCCCCGATCAATTAGTGTATGTTACCGACCCCACTCCTTGGCTCTGTTTCTTCCCCTTACCAAACAATCCAAATTTTATTTTCTTAATTCCAATATAAACCAAGATTACTTCTTCACTCAAGCCCAGTTCTCATTTATACCCGTCTCCCCTCCGTTGTACACCTTCAGAAGCACAATCCACATAGGCTTTGGAAAATCCTAGAGCGCGCCAAACACCGAAATCTCTCTTTCTTAGGCGTCTCGGGATCTCCGCCAACAGAGAGATTTCCCTGACGATAGCAAGGGATAAGGCGGTGAGGTCTTGAGGATGAGCAGAAGAGATATGGAGATGAAAACACAGCTCTTCAAAGTCGTGGATAATGTCGATTCCGTTTGAATCTCTCCGATGCTCTTCCTCTCTCTCTAAACCTTCGCCGCATAAAAAAGATGGAACATAGACGTGTTTATATCAAACACACGGGCGTGTTTAAATACATAACTTAACCTGACGTTTGAATACGGCCGCACATTATAAGACCGTGTTGGATCTGAATCAAATGCCACGTCAATTTTTGTTGCAGTCATGTCCATCTATTCTGTTAAATTATAACCGTGAGACAAAAAATGATAACTAAGGCTTCCTTTCTTTGGGGTTGGATTGGAAAGATTTGATTTGAATTGTGATTGAATTTGAAATTTTTAATAGTTTTGAAAATTTGTGTTCTTTTGGCTTAATAGATTTTTTTAAATTTTAAAATTTTTTAATAAATAATAATTTGAAAGGCAATGATTGATTTTATATAAATTTATAATTTAATTAAAAATATATAAATTAAATAAAAAATAAAAAATTAATAAATAGTTAAATTTAAATTTTAAATTAAAAAATTAAAAATATTAATATATTAAATAATAATATAATTTAAATTAAATATAATTATAAAATAAATATAAAAAATAATACTCATATTATATTACTAATATTATTTTGATATATTATTAATAATTATTTATTAATATTAGTATTATTTTTTTATAAATACTATATGATAATTTTTAATTATAATATATTTATTTTAATTAAAAAATTTCCCCAACACATCTACAGCGCCCCCAGGTTCTTCCCCTCTCCCACTCCCATCTTCTTCACCCTTCCGTTCTTTCATTCGATCCTTCTTTTCTCCTTTTCTTTTTCTTCTTCGTCTCCACCCAACTTCCTGCGCCGCCGCAACGGTCTTCCTCTTCTCATTCCCTCTTCTTCTTCCTCCTTTTCTTCCTCTTCTTCTTTTTCTTTTTTTTTTTCTTCTCTTAAATTTTTCTTACAGAGCACGCTCCCTTCAAAATTACCCGAAAAAACTACCGGATCAAATCCAACCTCCGCCAAATCGCCGCCGCCCGGTGATTTTCGCCGCCACCTTTCAACCTTGCTACGCCATCGGTTGTTCGAGAGAGGTTCTCCTTCAGCTGGTTCGACCGAGGGTGAGTTTTGGAGGTTGATTATTAGAAGATGATTGTAGTATGGGATTTACAACTCACAGGCTTTACTTTCCAGAAATTTACTTTCACAGGAGATGATTGTAGGAGATGATTGTGAAAGTAAATTCCTGGAAAGTAAATTTCTGTAAATTCCTACTTTCACAGGCTTTATTAGGAGATGATTGTAGTAAATTCCTGTATGTTCCCATACTACAATCATCTCCTACAGGCTTTACTTTCCTGTGAGTTGTAAATTCCAAACTCGCAACGTGATGATTTTGAGTGGAAGCTATACTTTCTGTATGTTCTTTACTTTCCTTCAGCGTATCTGGACAGATACATTTGAAGCGATTTTTAGTGTTTTTATTTTTTATTATCTGATTGCTAATGCTGGCGAGTTTTCTTTTAAGCAAATTAGGAATTTTCTATTCGGACCTGTGATTAAGTCACATTGCTTTGATCCAAATTTAATTGTTTCTGTTATTTAGATTTAATTGCTTTTCTTATCGAACGCAATCTTTCTGGGATTAATTAGCGAAAGCCCAATACTATATTTCTTCTATTTAGGGTTTTTGGCAATCCATTGTTCAGAACAATGCGAAAAATGGTCTTACATTTCAGGTTGAGTAAATAATTTGTAATATTTGAGAAGCTAATTTGTTTTTCAACATTAGTAGTTATGTTACATTTCTGTAAGTTTGAGCTGGTAGTGTGAAGAAATGCTTTTAACTTCTGAAATGGCATGACGTTCATTGATCAGAATGTGTTACATGTTTATCGAACAAATTCAGGAATCGCAAGTAGAAATGTCTTCCTTACTGCTCATGCAGGCGATCTCCATTTTTCATCCGTAATACCAACTCTGCTCTAATTTTCCATCTCATGCTTGCAGGGAAAATGCAAACGGGAAACTCTTCCACGGAAGAAGATAAGTTTACAGTTAGGAAATTGGAGATCTCCGACAAGAACAAGGGTTTCATCGAGCTACTCCAGCAGCTGACCGTTTGCAATCCCATATCCGAGGAGGCATTCAAAGAAAGATTTTATGAAATTGCCAAACCAGGCGACGACCATCTCATATGTGTCATAGAGGACAAAGATTCTGGAAAGATCGTTGCTACTGGGAGCATATTCATCGAGAAGAAGTTCTTGAGGAATTGTGGCAAAGCTGGTCACATTGAAGATGTGGTGGTGGAATCGAGTTTTCGAGGAAAGCAATTAGGCAAGAAGATCATAAAGTACCTTTCGGATCATGCCCTGGCAATGGGATGTTACAAGGTGATCCTGGATTGCAGCCTCGACAACAAAGCATTCTACGAGAGGTGCGGATTCAAGCAGAAGGAAATTCAGATGGTCAGGTACTTCACTTGATGGATGCATCATCTTCTCTACTTTCAATTTAATAGAAGAGCAATAATCTGATCATATTGTGTGTTCTGTTCTGTGCATCTGTTTAAACCTTCAATCAACAAAAGCTGTTCATTTTTGGAGAATGGTATTCTCAAAAAGCAATTTAAATTTGAGAATGTTTATCAAGTTGTGTTTTTTACTACAAAAAGAGCTTCTTGCATCCTTATGAATACATTAACAGAGTAAAGGCAATAGTTTGAATCTTTGATCCCATTCTCTTGTGTTGTAGTCCTGTTTGTACAAATCCTTTTCGGTACAATACACAATTTTATCCTTGCTGATGAATGTCCTCTTGGCGATTCTTAGTGTTCGTGTTTTGAAAGAAAAACCATCGAATTAGTGGGATTGCAAAGAAAGAACCTGCATAGATATGCAAGGATAATGAAAACTCAGAACACTAGATCAGGGGAAGAATAGCTTCTAATGTTGTCTGTCTGAATGACTGGTAAAGTTTAGGGCAGTCTGACTTTTGGCGGAATACAGTACAAAACTATCGTAGACTGGTAACCAGAACTTAGCATCATTTTCGGAGATCACATAGAGCAGGTGATGATATTAACAGTTGAATGCCTACCTGAAGCAGGGGAAATATGTCGGACACAAATGATATGAATCCACTTGGACTGGTGGTCATATTCTTGAATATAAATCTAACAAAAGATAGACGACTATGGAAAAACTCGAAGTTATAAGTCAGTATTTCCGGTAAATTTCTCCATCCATCCGTAGGTATAGGGAAGTGATGAACAGCAAGGATGTGACAGCCCCTCCCAGTGGTGTTTGTGAAAGGAAGGTTGATTGAATGGTGAAGTTGGATGAGGGTGGCAAATTGGGAATCCTTGAAAGGATGATGGGAAGAAGAGAATGGGTTGATCCAGTGCCCATTGTGGATTCTTTTTTTCTTTTTTTTTTTTGGTGCTAATTTCTTCCCAACCTTTGCCATTGCCAATTGAATGATAGTTGGAAATTCTTCTTACAAATTGTAGTGTCACTTTGTTGTAGGAATACGGGTCTACTTGGACCCCTTTTGGATTGGCTTCTAGGAAGTGTTTTTGGCTTTTACTTCTAAGAAAAAATATTTATTTATGTTTGTATTGATTTATCTTCAAAAGTATAAGCACTTTTTAGGTTCCAAAAATATTTTTTTAGAAGCACCTCAGGATTACTTCTAAAAAAGCAGGAGTTTTACTATCTAATTTACAATTTTAATAATAATAATAATAAATTAAATAAGATACAATAAAATAAAAATAATTCATTTATATAAAACTTAAATATAGTTGTATTTTAATTTCAATTTATATTTTTTATTTTAATTAAGTTTAAAATATATAATTGAAAATATTAAATTTTAAAAAATATAAATTTTAATTATATAGTAGTAGATATTCAATAGTTTTAAATATAATTTTTAAAGTTAAAATAATTTGTAGAATAGTATTATTTAAATTTAATTATATTTTTAATTTTTATTTTTATAAAAAATAAAAAAATACAAATATAATTAATATATAAATTTGATAAATATATTTTCAATTAGTTTAGATAATTTTAAATTTGTAAATATAATTTATAAAATTTTAAATATTTTATTTAAAAATATAGTATTTACAATATTATGTCTATTTGGTCATTTTAACAGCACTTTTCACTTTTATTATATCCAAGTAGTTACCCTTTAAGATATCCCCAACAAAAGAAAAAGAAAAAAATTCTCTCTGCCCGATTACCCATTTATTCTGTCGTTCAAAATCAACAGGTAAACTGCTGCCTCTATAAAGATTGATCAGACCAATTCAATCTCCAAACATACAAAAAACATAAGAACCAATTCAAGCTTCTTCCAAAATAATAACTTAAAAATCTATCATCTATCCAAAACAATATATATATAAACATAATGTATGTCCGTCGAGATGAATGGATGGATGATCAAACCTGGACTGGACACAAAGACAAGGACAACAATCTATCTCAGGGTAGGGTAGGGGAGGGGAGTGGTGGTGTCTCAACAAGAACCAGAACCAGAATAGAATGCCTCCTCACTCTCAATAAGTAATGTATCGAGTTAAATACGAAGGTACCCACGGCGTTCTCTTCCCCCACCCATCCTCAGAAAGGATTTCCGGTTCAGCGACCAGCTCCTCGTCAAGCTTTGTCTTCTTCTCCATGCCATTATTATCCGGCTGTACAGTGCTGGGAAAACAAAACACAGCAGGATAATCCCCAGCATTGCTACACTCAAAATCATCACGTTGCGAAACCCATCCTTCAACTCGGGTTCCCTTTGGTTGGTCCACGGAACGCCTCCAACATTCATGCCAAATACTGTTCAACAAGAACCCACTATGTTTACTTAATTCAACACCAAATTTGTAATATTCATACAAATTCTCAAAAATATATATACATATATATATATATGTATTTAGTGATTTGTTTAGATTCACAAGAGTGAATAGCATTAGATGTGTAACTGACCTCCGGTAATTATCGATAAAGGCAAGAATATGATGGAGAGGAAGGACAGGTAGTATAACTTCCGGTTTATTTGCTCGGATTGCCAGCTGTCAAGGCCCGCTTGGATTGCTGTGACACGGTTGGCTATAAATCCGACATTCTCTTTTAATCTTCTTATCCGGCCAATCAACTCTTCTAATGCATTAATGTCTTCATTGGCAAACCAATCTTTCAATGAACACTTCTCTTTGACTCTTGGGAATACTTGTTCACCATGTGCAATAACCTTCAATTGTCCCAAACAGGAACAATTACAAGTGAAAAAAAGAAATTTCTTTTAAAATCTAATGAATGGTAGTACACATAGTTTCAAGAATTGAAGCTCTTGTACATAGGCTTTCCAGATATGAAATAGAAATATTAATTTTGCCGAGCTAAACTTTTAATCAATAGACTCCATTCGAGCTTATAGCAAGACTGACTTGAACTCAATCAATTAAGTGAAGAACACAAATGGTTCAAATTTATCTCAATAAATAATTTTATTTTTTTAAATTCAAGTTTAAGCTTGCAGCGTTTGTACCAAACATAGTCGAGCTCGGGCTTTCGTTCGAGCAGCTCATTCATAAGATTTTGATTAACAATTCTCATGTTTGACTTTTACTTAGTTAATGCAATTGCATACCTCAATACAACCTTAACCACTCTAACCTTGAATTGTAGGAAGGAAAAACATATTTTTAAGGGAAACTAATAGAAACAATAATTACCTGCAACAAGCGCTGCAAGTCGAGATGCATTTTTGGAAATTTTCTATCGTCTAACATTTGTTTCTTTAAAGCAAAACCACCTGCAAATAAGATAAGCTATTATGCAACGAACAACCTCAACAATGTTGGGAAAATAATATAAGAGCTAATACAAAACAATTCTTAATAATTTGAGATGATAACAAGATATTCGAGTTCAGTACCTACTCAAGTTAAAACCATCAAATTAGATACAAACTCTTCCTTACAAAATGCTACTCGATTTTCACAAGCTCAGTCAGGTTAAAAGAAAGTATAGAGGTTCAAATCTGTCTTGCAAAACATGAGCTCGTCACAGATCTCGATGATTTTATTTATTTTTCTTCTATTTCCCATAAAAAATAGCATGTTGTTACTTAGCATATTGATCTAGACTTCATATATTAACTTTGCTCCTTATTCCAAATTAAATTCAATCTTTAAAATAAACACATATTCATGCGCCTAATTACAACACTCTAAAGCATAATAATAAATTTGATACTTTTATATAGAAAAGAACACAATTAGCAAATCATAGCCGTCAAATAAAAACAATCAAATTATGATACAGACAGTTCAAAACATACGAGTGAAAACAACATATCAATCAAAATCCAGGTCTGGTAAATGTTTGTCCACATACAGTAATGTATCCATTCAATTCTACCATTTCCACAGCAACACAGCAAAAAATTATTAAAATAGAAAGACCTTATTACCTCTGTCGATTTCCAATTCAACTGAATCCAACTCGATCTCAAGTCTAGTAACAACATCCTGAAGGTGATCCACATGTGTATCAATTATGTGCACAACAAGATTTGAAATCGACAAGGGCACCGGATTATCTGCCTCCTCTGAGTGATTCATCATCAATAGAAAATCCAAAACATGCTCTTGAATGACTGTCCCACCTCTATCCTTCCTTTCACCGTTTCCACTACTTGGACTCTCGACAACCGGAATCTCTGATAACAAAGACTCATTCACTGGCGAAAATCCCAATCTCGGAACTCTCCCCAATGATACTGTAATCACTGAATGCTCAGTGATCCTAGCTGCAATTCTAAACGTAAACTTGCTAGAAGCCGGGCCTGGCGAATTAACTCTAAACACTAGTGCCCCGTCGACATAACCACAAAAGGGGCCATTGCTAACGAGCGAAAGAATGTCCTGCAACTTTAGGGGCGGACAGAGGACGTCGATTAAGTACTGAGCCGATTGGGAGAGCTTTTGGTTCCCTTTTGGAAGCTCAACATGATACCAACAGAACTCTTTACCTTTACCCTCAATAAGATCCCATTCTTTATTGTAATAATTCCCATCACCATCAAATATATAAGCCCTTTGCCGAACAGCGCCGGGATACCGCGATTGGTAATTTGTACGTACTAAGGACTTCTCCTCCACATCAATTTCGACTTCCATTGATTTCCTAAATTTGGGTTCATCAACCAAATTCAAATCTAAACCCTAATCCCCAAATTGATAGAGAAAAAGGATGAACCACGCTTACAGTCGATAATTCCACAGAGATTAATTAAATTGAATGAAAATTCACAACTAATAATATTTTCGAGATCACAAAAACCTGATGATCAGCGGCTTTACAATTTTTCAATCACCATCAAAATCAGAATCAGCAGCCCAGACAACTACGCGACGAATCAAAGTAAATACACGAGAAACTAACCACCGTAAACTGAAAAACCCCAATCAGGAAGGAGCAAATGAGGCCGCCTAATCTTATTCAGATTCAAACAACGACAGAAGATCTCTCTCTATATATACACACATATATAAATATATGTATCTCAAAAACAGAGGTTAAACTTTCCTGGATACAAATCCGGATGAAATTTCAAGAGCAAGATTTCAAGGATTGGGGGTAGGTTGGGATAGGGTCAACGAAAACATTACATGCATAATCTGGTTGCGCGAATCCAGATTTGATTTAGAGCCAAGAATCATTCATAATATAAAGATGGTTGCGTGGCGGTTTCCATGAAGTTTCCTATTTGCAACAAACCCTGAAATTAGTTTTTTTTTTTTTTTTAAATTCTGTTTAAGTGGGGTTTTTATTATATAATTATATAGATTATTATGGAGTATTATTAAGATGTGATGTGGGTGGGTTTCGACTTTTGGTTTTCAATGGTTTTTATAGATGAAGAGAAAATGCGACTTGGGGGGTGGAACACAAGTATTTGTTTGTAAGAATTTGGTTTACAATTATTATCTTTTGAATTAAAATAATTATTTAATATAATATTTTAAATATAAATTAAATTTTAATATTATATATAAAAAAAATAGATATTTAATTACATATACTGTTTAAAAAATTAAAATAGTAAAATTATATTCAAAACTTACAAACAAACCGTTACAGTGACCCAAAAACTAAAAAAAATACTCCATTGCTTACCATGTCTATGTTTTCACACATGTCACTTTCTTTTTTTAAAATGATTACTCATCTTAATTTTATTTTAAATTTTCAAAATTAAATATTTTTAATATTTTAATTAAACTAATTAGTTATCTTAATTTTAATTTATAATAATTTATATTATAAGTTAATTATTTTTACTAATATATTCTTAATTATCCAACGAGGGACAGAAGCACTAATAAAATAAAAGTGTATAAGGACAAAATGAAACAAATATTAGATATTTGAGTTTGTTTAGATATAGTTTAAATTAGATTTCAAATAAAATATTGAAATAAATTTTTATTTAAATAATAATTTCATATTAATAAAAATAATAATACTCTCTCAGTTCACTTACAATGTATATATTTATTTTTGACACGATATTTAAAAAATAATAGTATTTTAATCATAGTAAATAGTTAAAAATAGTGTAATAACATTTTTGCCCTTGATGTGATGAAAAGTAAGGGTATTTATGAAAAAACTGATGTATTTAATGAAATGTTTACTTTGTAATTGAACCTTTCAAATATGAAAAAACTAATGTATTTAATGAAATGTTTACTTTGTAATTGAAACTTTCAAAATAGAAATATGTATACTTTCTAGTTGAACGGAGAGAGTAGTATTCATTTTAGTTTGAAGTCAGAATAAACACATCCTTTAATTTTTTTTCTCATAGTTGAAAATTTGAATTATAATACACCCTCTTTTACATTTCAAAAAGGCCATTTATTATTTTTGTAATAAGTTAAAAAATAATACTCACTTCATCCCATAAGAAGGATACTGTTTTTTATTTTTGTCCGTCTGTCCCAAAATAAGAGTACCATTTTCTAATTTAGTAACTGTACTACCTATCTAACATGATAAATACCCTTATAACTTACAATATATTACACAAATGTCATCACTTTTATAATACATCATACTAATAGGGGAATTTTTGTCTTTTTTACTACAAACTAATATAATATTAATATTAAAAAATTTACGTACAAAAAACAAACGGTGCTCTTCTTGCCGGACAAATGGAGTACTAGAATTTTATTAGTTAATAAAAAATATTTAAGATAATTTGACATTTTTGTCTTACAAAGTACATATAAAATAATGATATTTTTGTAATTTATGTAAAAATAGGAGTATTTTAATATTTTTACTATATTAGAAAATAGATATTTTTATACAAGCAAACAAATTTGTAAAACTATTACTTTGAGCTTGAACAAATGGAGTAATGTATTAATATATATATTGTGTCGAAACCAGAGTTATTTGATAGATAAAACTGAAGGGTTTTTGTTGAGGTCAAAAAGTCAGATTTTTATCATTTTATGCCGACCTGATGAATATATATATTTAGATGGTATATGAACATAAATATACAATGAGTTTGTTCACTTTGTATTTTAAATAAATGTGTTTTTTAGATTCGTTATAAAAATTATGTTGATAATATAAAAATAATATTTTTATTAATTATTAACTTTTTGTAAGTGAATAAAATATATATATTATATAAATTGTATTACTTCCTTCGTCTTACTTTTTATATCAACTTTATGTAGATACATAATTTAGATAATGTATCATTAATAAATAATTAAAAATATATCATTAAAAATAATTATTATATAATATAAATAATTATAAATTAAGATTAAATTAATTAATTAATTTAATTAAAATTAAAAAATTATTGATTATAAAATTTAAAATATAATTAAAATGTATAATCATTTTTTTTTTAAAGAAAAAGGACAAATAATATGAGACATAAAAAATAAAAATTATGGACAAAAAAGATGAGACGAAAAAAATAATATATTATATTTTTAATAATATTTATAAAAAATTGTGATATTTAAAAACACTAATTAAACAAACCTAACTTCCTCCATTTTAAATGTATTTCTTTAGGATTTTTTTAGATTAAAAAATAATATTAGCATTTTATTAATTAGTAAAAGTATGTAAATTTTTTTTTTATACTTTTATCTTTTGTGTTTATATATAAAGTAATTGTGTGTAATAATATTGTTGATGCAATTTTTCAACAATAAAAAAGTAAAATCCGAAAATAGGATCTTTAAACACTGTACGGTACATAAATAAACTGGAAAATAAATGATAAAGAACTGAAAATTAAAGGATGATCCCCGAATCACTTTGCTGTTGTTTGAAGATAATTAAAGATCCATTGCCAGTTGTTGACCCCAATCCTTAAATATTTCTCAGAAACCATACCTGGAACCGTCGTCCGAACGGTTACAACGCCTTCTTACAATCATCTACTAATTCTTCTTTTGCTGACACGTGTTCTCAACCGTCCCACCAACCGCGTCTCCCAACCGACCAAGCTACGGCTCTCACTCGATCTCCTCAGCATCCGACCTCCACAGTAACTGACTTGCTTATTTGCTTGCAGATCACCCGACCTGCCTGTCCAACCGCGGACCTTCTAACTTACTTATCGGACCGCGAACCAAACGACCTGCCTACCCGACCGCAGACCTTCCGACTTACTTATCCAACCGCGAACCAAACGACCTGCATGTCCGACCGCAGACCTTCCGACTTACTTCTCCGACCGCAAACCTTCTGACTTGCGAACCGTCCGACCCGCGGATCAACCGACCTGCGGACCGTCCGACCCGTGGATTATCCGACTCGCAGACTTTCCGACTTGTGAACTGTCTGACCCGCGGACCAACCGACCTACGGACCATCCGACCTATGGACGGTCCGACTCGCAGACCATCCGACTTATGAACCATCCAACCTGCGGACCATCCGATCTGTAGACCATCCGACCCGCGGACCATCCAACCTGTAGATCATCCGACTCACCTATTTTCTTAGAAGGACGTCCAGTTTCACCCGATTATCTTAAAATACCCCTTAATAAGTCTAATAGACCCACTTACAGGCCCACATCTTCTTCTAACTTGGGCTTTTTAGCCTAATTATAAATTTCATACGTAACAAATATATTAGTAATTTAAATAAAAATTAAAAGTATTTTAGTATTAGTATATAATTATTTTTATTAAAATAAAAAATAAAAACTTTTGAGTGAGAAATACAAAAATGGAAAAAAATTATATTTTAAATTAGAAAGGTGGTAGTATTAATTTTAGTATAAAAATTCAAATGTTTTTATTATTTTTTACTTAGATTGCTAGATCTATTAGACATATTTATATAAACAAAATACTTTCTAATAAAAATATGTAAAAATAAATTTTATTAAGTAGATAAAAATACGCAATGTTTTTGTTTTACATTTATGAATATAATATTATCTTTGTTTTAAACACATAAAAAAAAATATATTTTTTAATCATTCTGCCAATATTTATTTATTTATTTATTTTTAAAATTTGTTAACTAAATTTGTTATACTATTAATTTTGACAAAATTAATAAATTAATATTTAACTTCTATATTTTATTCAACACTTATTTGAAATAAATACTATGCAGAGGTGAAAGGTCTTGTTCCACGTAGGAAATACCAAACATATTGTACCACTTAAATGCATTGTAGTCTCATTTATTATAAATGAATTACTTGTGATTGAATTGAATTGGATAGACTTGGATTTTGTATTGTAGTCTAATTTGGGCCTTGGGTGGTCTATACCAGTAAGGAATCGATCATGGTCCCAATTTGCTTCAAGAAATTCGTGTGCAACACGATATTAGAATTTTATTATATTAGATATTCTGTTTGATTTTTTTCCATTTCAAAATTCACATTAATTTTGTAACAATTTTGAAGCAAATTTTTCCTACAGTGAAAATCTAAGATGACTAATGAAAGTTTCTAAATTCATTATCAAACTGTGGTTGCCCAAATTTTGCCTGCTGACGAAGACATGATCGACGCTATGCGGGATGAAGACGGCATGAATCTGAATAACAACGTTCAAATTAGAGTAGATAGGGATGAGAATGAGAAGGTGAATTCCAATGAGTCTCACACCTTGTTCCCTATGTTTCACGATCTCAGCCACCACATACAACTGATGAGACTGCTGAACTCATTGTTGGCAGGTGTCAGACAGCTACGAGGGCTGCTGCGGAAAATGTTGTCAAAGTAGCGTACAAAGAGGTCTTTAAGGCCGTGATGAAGGAGGCGAAGCCTGTTGCTGCGACCTCTAACTAGCTTGTTATTGGACTGCAACAGGACATCTTGTTGATGCCCATGTGAAACAACATGTTGCTGCTTTACCTCATTTGTAAAGTGTATGGCTAGAGGATTGACTTGGAGGGTTTACGGTATGTTATTGTTGCAGATCACCTGACGTAATTTGTTGCTGCGTCGGATGAGAAACCAACAAAGTTTAATGGGCAAAACTTAAAATATGACTGCAGAAGATGTTTTATCTTACTACGTATAATCTTCTAGACTGAGGTAAATTATGTGCCTGAAGAATTTTCAAAATAATTATGATTTAATAAAAATAATTATATATTAAAATTAAGATCACTAAATTGTTCACTTAAAATCAAAAAG